TCATTGATCTAGGAACTTTATACAACTTCATTGACATTGGACATTGACACTGAAAAATGTGTGACAAGTTTTTTTTTCAGATGCGATTTCGATATACAATACTGCTGGTGTTAGTGGTTGTCCTTGTTATTGGAGCAGACGGCGCTCGAGACAGAAGCCGTAAAAAGAATCGTGATAAGGGAAAATCTGCTGAGACCGACAGTGCAGTGGACGATGAGAGCAGAAGAGGCGGTAACAGTTTTTTTGAAATGCATAACACAATTCCGAAGTATACAATGTATTTTATTAGGCCTTCTTAAGGTGGGTCAAACGGCGCAATCCTTGATCAGCTGATCATCGAACAATACGGCAGCCAATCATCGATCCCTTCGAAGGCGTTTCACAATCATTTTGAGAATGCAAGTTTTGTATGAGGAAGGAGGTGAACCGCAGTGGAGGACCCTTTACCATTTTCGCGTCAGAAAGTTGTAAGCAGGGGAAGTCAAGGTGCGAGTTGCCCAAGTGACTCTGCCGGCGCGTCAATCTCTCGACTGACCCTTAGCTCTGTCGTCTCACTCATTTACACGCTCTCTATCTGCTGTCATCTGGTCCCTCGCCTATAATCAAATCTTTTGCTGAATCTTTCGCTTACAGCGAATTAACGGATGTTCTGCTTCCAGTTGCAGCTAGCGAGAGAGAGAGCGCTTTATTTGGGGATCTTTTGACGGTTTCCTCTGCCCTTTTCCTCACAAACAAACCAACGAGCGGATACACTTTGGTTTTTGAACCGAGCTGCCTATGGAAGCTGTCGACAGCTTATCGCGAAATGCGTCCTTAAGAAGGTTTTTCCCACAAGAAAAAATTCATCAATTCGTTGACGTGCACTATTAGAAAAAGCGGCCACGTGGACTACAAAATGACGCTCGCTTTAGTTCTAGAATGTCGTATGGACGTGCGAAAAACAGAAAGCTGAAGCGATCAAAGAGGTTGGGTTCGAGTTGTCACAGACCATTTGAAGGGACGTGACTTGGAGCGCAGCCAGAACAGCGCTGCAGTTGACGCGTACTCAGGACGGCATTATTGGTGGGAAATGCTGTTCTAGTAGCGCTCCATTCCACGCCTCACACGCTCTATCGTTCTCGAGGATTATGACTGTATTTCCAGTAATAGTATAGTATTCACACATGTGAAAAGTCGTCGACGAAATCTCACCCGTACTCGAAAGGAATACTTTTCTTCTGACATCGTTAAACCACAGTAGTCCTATCTCGGGAGATTAATACCGAGTTGAGCATGGGCTTATTCACTGCATCGGTTCGTTATGAGGATGTTACCTATCCACGTATCCAAGGTACCAACCAAAAGCCCAATACATGGCACATAGCAAATGAAGCCGTCACTTGTCTACTATTTCGTCTATATTGGGCTAAAGCCAAATGAGGTCTGCACCATTACCATGGTGAGCATCACATATTGCTGAGGTTCACAAATTGTCCTTTTGTTCTCACTATCTGTGCTATCTGTAACCCATGGTTTACCACTGCTCTCACGTGCCATAAGGTAAACACGATGTTGGTCACATGGAAGGTTCTTTTCATGGTTTCCCTTTCCAAAAGGCCATAGAACACTTTGGGGCAATTACTTCTTGTATTGGGAAGTTAGAGTGGAAAGATCTGAATGGGGAGTGCCTTGTATTTTGTCTCTCCAAAGTTAGTAGGAAATGTTAAGCAACCGAAACCCTCTGGATGTGTGAACACAATATGTGCAGTACAACTACCAGTCAGGGTGAAGCAGCGGATAAATGCGTCGTGTATAGGTTCTAATCAACAGGCCGAAAATCTCCCATAGTAACATCTTAATTGACTAGTTTTATCTGGGGGAGTAAAGACCGTGCGCAAGGCAACTGTCGTCGTAGTTCATTATTTGGACCAGATACGTCTTCAGCTACATCCGCGATTCTGAGCAGACTTTGAGTGCATGGCCCATTATAAGAAGATTGACCGAAGCCAACATTCTATGCCTTTTATATTACATCATAATAGGGTCGTACTATTAAGTGAACTGGGTATGAAATGGCATTTTGACTTGGACCCGGTCAACCACTCTCGCTCATTACACCGGGACCTAGTTATTATACATTTATGGCTTTTGATCACATTACGCTATCCGTTGCCAGCCATAACTTTCCTATACAACTCTCTACGAAGCTTGCAGTAACAGTGGTCTTGTTTCTGCCTCGTTATCAGACCGCCCCCGCATCATAAGGAGACTGATTATGAGCGAAAGATGATTAGAGGGAGTCCAGTCGGACGCTGAGTTCGAAACAGAATGAGTCTGCCAAAATCCCACAAGAAATTGAAGGGTCAGAAGCTGAAGACATTACAAACTGTGACGTTGCCGCGCTCGCTGTTACGTACTTGGAGACGCTCTTTTGCCCTGGGATACAAATATTGACTTTTTTAATTGGCTCTGTTTGGGTTAAAATTCAGTATCAGGATGGTAGAGAGAATTGAAACTTGTGTTTAGGCTTTGCTGAATCCGAATCATTGTCGGAGAAAAGTCGCGAGAGGAACAGGGAACGTGAAAGAGGTATGTAGATTAAAGGCTATTCATATTTTGACAGTAGAAAAGGCCCATCTTTATAGCAGATCGGGCGAAAAAAAATATGTTGCATTTTTTTCAAATAGCTCTTTTCAAGAGCTTGTTCACCGTTCCTGCCGGGAAGCCACATGGGAGTGGTCTGGTAAACCCTTAACTGGTGATTTTCCCCTTTTTAGCGGTCGAGGCGAGAGCGAGGGATTAGCGCTATGAGGCTAGGGACATGATGGTAAATAGGTAAAGTTCCCAAAAGAACATAAATGGATCGCTTACAAATACTAACTTCCTCATAAAACTGGGAACTTTAGCTCAGCTCCAATCCGCCAGTACACTCCATATCCCTGAGACGCGGTAGGCGTGGCTGCGTACTTTAGCTGAACACTTCGTAAGGGTATTAGTGGGATACTTCAATCTGAGACAGCTTTCATGCTGCCTTGTGTTAAACAATGGCATGGTTACACTTATCTAAAATAAAGATATCATACCAACCCACAGCCGCCGCCACGTCCAAATGAAATACGTGGCAATGCCCAGTGCAAGTAGAAGGTCTGGACTACAGATTGCGACGTCTTTAACAATGATAGCTTTTTCAGAGCGTGAGCGCGGTATGTTAATGGGAGAAAAGGAAAAAGAAGAAGAGGAAGAGAGTAGTGAGGAGAAAGACGATGACAAGAAGAAGGACGCCACTACTGCCGACCCTAGGGAAATTGTGATACCAGAGGTAGACATTTATGACTATGAAAAAATTCCAAAAAGTGTTCTGCGAATATTTTTGTTAAGGCTCGATTACGCAGATTCAAAGAATTCGATGAAAATTCCGAATACGAATGGAAGAAAAGCATCTCGGACAACAGAGGCGTTAGTGTTTGACTACAGCGTTGTACAGCAAAATTCTGTGCCTGGCTTGCACATTAGCTGTAGGTCAGGAAGTCCGAGTTGCAGCGGTGTTACGAGCGCCCTTAGAAGCTATTGGCATTTGTCGAACTAATTGAGTTTACGCTGAAGCGCAAAAATAAGGTGAACCAACTAGTCAATGAGTTCGACCTGCGTTGAGTCTGTGTCCGCTACTCAGATCTCCTGGCCCGTGCCTGCGCATTGACTGATGCTCTGCTACTCCTTGATTATTTATTGCTTGGGCCACAAAAGCAAAGGGTAATATTTCATAGGGCCATCAGAATCGTTACAGGGTAACACACAACTTCGAAAATCCACAGAGCTGAACGAAGGCAAGAGTATACCATTGGAGCAAGTGCAGGATAAACGTCACCACATCAAACACGTTCGTTTTAAGAGTACTTTTTCCTCGTCCTAAATTCTCCATGCTATACGAAAAAAATAAAGGATAAAGTCCTTGTCGTGGATCAAGCTCCTTTTGGGATGCGACATGCATTCTACTCTCGTTGAGAATAGTAGTGGCGCACTGAATGTGGCATGACCTGTGCAATGACCTGCGGGGCCAGCCGATGTAAAGTCAGTGTTTTATGGGTATGTGACAAGAGGATCGTAATTTGCCGCGCTGCTGGGCGTCGCGTGCGACGTTCCGCCGGCAAAGGACGATGGTTTCAGGCTGTAGATGGCGACAACATGCAATTAAGAACCGAAAACAGTAATGAGTGTCTACGATGACGGGGTCTACATGAAGTCCGGTGCTTCATTCGACAGGTTCGAGTTATGAAAACGCCGCGCCCATCGCCGCGCACGGCGGTGCGGCGAATTACGATCCTCTTTACCGTCTCCCGTGTTTTATCCTTCCATACGGATCAGATAACAATTCACTGTCCCCGGAGAGTAGAAGGCCTCGATGGCCTGGGCTGGAGCCGATTTGAGATTTGAAGCACACACCGCACGCGTGTAAACGTACAGTCCTCATCATTGCGGACTGTCGGAGGGCGGCTGTGCAACGCGGTCCAAATGGGCGTTCGGCGTCGTTGTTCTACCAATGACACTCGCGTAAAGATCGATTTAGGGAGGGAGCAACCAATGATGGAAACGCCGCAGGTGCGAGCCGCTGATCCCGGCAACTGCGGTGATGTATGTAAATGTATCACTTGAAACAAAACCACCTCAGGGTTGGACCTTCTCTAACGACCACTAACAATTAGTGAGATTCATGTCAATTCAATTCGTTATAGAGATCTCGCAGGACGTTGAGGGAACATGGAGAGGTGAAGGAGCTCGATTACGGTAATCAAGAGGCTCTTGTTAAGGAGCAGAAGTCTAATCATAAGGATAAGAATCAAGCGCACTCGAAACAAGTTTGTTACATCAGTTGATCAGTAGTCTAGTGAAAATAGCAGTGTCTGATAGAAATGGACCGTTTTACAAGTTTGTTACAAGTCAAGACTGGACTCGTGCATCTTGTGATAGCTGTGCGAGATCATTGTGATCGTGCCTCATCGAAAAAAAAATCATGATCAACTAGTATAATATGGGAGGAGTATATGAGTGGATAGTTCCGGGCTGACACAAGGCAACCCGCAGCAGTGCACTTTACATCTAAGGCCTCTAATGACTTCTCCCTCGTAGAGGTTACGCAAATTGGAACTTGTGACTGCACAGGCCATGGCGGTGAGCAGAAATCACACAAGTACATCAAATTCGTTATATACTCTGTCTTCTTAGCAGGAATCTACTCGGAACTTCCAATGAAGCGAGCGATACCAATAGTGCGAAGTACTGCAGTGCACGATTGGCCGCCGCCGCCTATCCCTGTGATTTATCTAGGCCCTGTTTCTCCCTGCCTGGAGGTGGGGGGGGCTCTAAATCTGTTTCTTTTTTACTTTACCTATATGTATTACATTCTGCATCCACGTATGAGCTTTGAACTGGGGCACCCTCGTCGCTGGAAACATATATTTGAGACCCTCTCCACCCAGGTAGGGGGCATGCGAAAATAGAAAGTTGCTAGCGATGGGTGAAGCTCAAAAGCACACGATGTGGCTAGCCAACTAAAAAAAGTGTTCGCCGTGTAGTGTAATGGGTCCTTGGACACGAGTGTTGTGCCTTATTCATGGCTTGGAACTATGCAGCAGAGTTTATAACTCAGGCACAGTAAGCCTTTGCTGACCTATCTCAGTTTGCTGTCTGCTGCCACGCTCATCTTTTCTCTACTCGCACACTTTGTCACTGGTTTCTCTCCTGTAACAACGCCACTTCGCTTCTTCGTATCCTCCTCCAATCGTCAAAATCAGCTCTAAGTAAGGGAAGATCATTTGCGACGCTTTCGAGGCTCCCTCTTTTTTTGCTCACTTGAGGCGTAGCCCTTGATTTTCTTGCCTGCGCACCACTATCATCCTACTTCAAAAGCACAATTCGCGACGAAGGATGTGTAGAGTTAGTTGAGTACACAATCGTACCAGTTCCGCGTTAGAAAGAAGCAAGTTAGGTGCGATGTTGCTCAAGTGGCTCCACCTGAAGGCGGTTGGCGAGATGAATCCCCAAGACGAGTGAGACTAGTATGCCTAGCAGGACGGAATTCCACGCCCCTGAGCAGGCGCTACGTAGCGCCCTTTTTAAGAAAGGTACCCTTATAAGGGCTCCGTCAAGCTACAACATTTTGACCGAAACGCCCACCCGCCCACAAATGAACGACCCCCTGACCGTATTGGTTCATTTGCTAAGCAAGTTATGAAGCGAAGGGATTGTTATGAAGCGGCCGTGATGCTGCATGGATATATGAGTACTTACATGCACATATATCTTCGGTAGCGTGGTTATTGGCAAGATGCGTACGGGGAACTCGTCCGAAATCGATTTTTGGGTCAATGAAGATGAAGGCTCCTTCTTCGCCAGATTTTGACCGTTTTACTCCGTTTTTTCGCCATTTTTCCCATTATATAGCGCCCTGCTAGCATTTTGAGCCGCGTACCAAATTATCGTGCCAACTGCCTTTAAGCTCGAGAAATTCTCCTCAGCGTCAGTGCCTGCCTTTTATCTCTTTTCTGTGCTCCAACACTACTCTTGTCTAATCACTAGGGTGAAGTTCCAGCAAGTATCCTCGTTTGGAAGGTGTAGAGTCTTATTCAGGGCGCTTTTTTCAAAGTCTCTCTTCTATTTCATCCACGAGTTGACGAATTAACAATTGATCACACCTCTGAATCTACGCAATATTTTTGATTTTAGCAATCTTGCGCAAAGTGCCGTCCACACTATTCCCTGTACACGGTAAGGCTGCGTTTATACTTTGGCAGCGTAGCGTAGCGCTTCCAGCGCACCCAGCGGCAGTGCCGGGGAGAGGATGGATATCGATCTAGCGTTCCCAGCGTCACCAGCGTAACGCTAGCGTACGCCAGCGCTTCACCAGCGTTTCATCAGCGTTTTGCTGGCGTTTGCAGCGACAGGGGAGTAGAGACAATGTGGCCGTAAGAGACGCGCAATCGATGTGTATTGTAGAGACTATGTGGCCGTAAGAGACGCGCAATCGATGTGTATTGTAGAGACTATGTGGCCGTAAGAGACGCGAAATCGATGTGTATGGTAGAGACTGAGGGCGCGTGAGAGACGCGCAATCGATGTGTTTTGTACCCTCCAGCTCTCCCATAGTCTCTACTCCCCTGCCGCTGCAACGCTAGCAAAACGCTGGCGTAACGCTAGCGTACGCTAGCTTTACGCTGGGAACGCTAGAGCGATCCCGGCACTGCCGCTGGCGTACGCTGGAAGCGCTGCGCTACGCTGCCGGAAAGTATAAACGCAGCCTAAAGCCTATAGGAAATCCGGCCCAGATTGCCACATCCCCTTATTTCCGCCAAAATAACCTGTTCCTCATGTTCCCGTCATGTTCTTCCACGCCTCCTTTTACCTACGCACTTTTCGACGGGTAAGCACGATTGTGCTTTTAAGAATGGCGAGTAGCTCTCATTGGCCGCGCTTGTTTTCGTTTCCACTCCCACTTCTTAATGGGGTTTTCAGCTGATTCCAAACGCAATAATCTGCCGCCTGAACTACTTTACTCACTTGTAGAGGCTACGCAGGACGCTGGAACTCGTTAAAATGAAGGAAATCAACGACGGCGAACAGAAACCACTCGACAAGAGACCCTCACAAACACATCAAGTAAGGTCTCTCAAGTCAGGTTCCGCCTAAGATGCACCCCTGTGGTTGAAGGCGGATCATGTGTCCCGCCCAATTCGAACGAGATCTTGGTTGTCGTGTGCAGTATCTTCGAGGAGAGACCGCCATCAACTCGTACCGAATGGGAGGAGCCTATGATTGGAGGCCTGAAGCATCACTTCAGCTTCATCACTGCTCAGTTTTTCCTGTTTGTGACGTCTTTACTATTGTAGAGGTTACGTAGAACGCTGGATCTTATAAAAGCGAAGGAAATCAACGACGGCGAACAAAAACCGCTCGACAAGAGACCCTCACAAACACATCAGGTCAGGTCTCTAGACAGATTTCGTCCATGATGCATCTCTTTGGAACCAGGAGAAGCACAATAAGCGACGGCATTATGGAGCTGACCATGTGTCGCGCCCACTCCGAACGAGATCATGGTTGTCGTGTGCAGTATCCCTATGGAGAGACCACCATTAACTCGTCCGAGTGGGAGGAGCCTATGATTGGAGGCCTGATGCATCTCTTGAGCTTCATCAATGCTCTCTTTTTCCTGATTAGCAACATTCTTTACTATTGTAGAGGTTACGTAGAACGCTGGATCTTGTAAAAACAAAGGAGATCAACGACGGCGAACAGAAACCACTCGACAAGAGACCCTTACAAACACATCAAGTAAGGTCCACGCAATAGGTTTCTCCCGTAAAGCATTTCATTGGTACTGAAAGAGTGCACAGTACAATACGGAAACATGAAAGCGGACCACGTGTCCTGCCCGATTCGGACGAGATTTTGGTTGTCGTGCGCAGTACCCTTAGAAGAGACCACCATCAACTCGAACGAATGGGAGGAGCTTACGATTGAAGGCGTTCCTCCTAGTGGGCGCATTGGTTTCCATGCCTTCGTGAAACATCTGTTCACCTCACCAATGCTTATTTTCCGTTTAATGACGTTTTCACCATTGCAGAGGCTACGCAGAACTCTGGAACTTGTGAAGACCAAAGAAGTCAATGATGGCGAGCAGAAGCCTCTCGATAAAAGACCTTCGCAAACACACCAAGTCTGTAATTGGAGGCCTTTGAAAGCAGATTAATAACAATTTTCACTGAAATGGTTGTGAGCGGCTCTTCTACAACGTAACCTCCCTTGTTCATTGTAGAGGTTGCGCAGGACGTTGGAACAACTCCCTAAGGCTCGAGAACTTAACGATGGCGAACAGAAACCCCTAGACAAGAGACCTACACAATCTGAACAAGTTTGTTGCGCTATTCTGATACCGGTCCGTCGCATGGTCGCAGATTTTGTTCCAAAAGTCCTATCGCTTATTGATAATATCGTATTCATTTATGAGGCGCCATTAGCCCTGGGGATGGCTAGGACTTTTGGAACGACCCAGTATAACCATCTGACAAAATCAATTTTTCTCCTAGTCCAACTTTCTTCCAATTGTAGAGGTCTCGCAGAACGGTGGAACTCGTTAAAGCGGCAGAGATCAACGATGGAGAAGAAATGCCTCTTGAGAAGAAGCCTTCACAAACCCATCAAGTTCGTTCACGACGGACTGCAGTCCACTGAGAAATTTTTGGCAGGAGATAACGCATTGGACGGGATCGTTATAACAGCCCAAGGCATTGCCACAACACATCAAGTCTCAGCGAGCGGACGCGTTGCGTCCAACTGAGCTACACGCCCATAACTGCGCTCAGCTTCTAGGTGTAGCGACTCTACCTTGCGCTGCAACGACGAGACTATGCTCTATCTAGTAAAGTATCTACATGTTGAAAACGGACCCCACAGTCATCATTTCGTAGGGTTACTTCCCTGCCCGAGAAATTCTACGTATTGGTTCAGCATGGGGTTCATTCCAAGAGAAAATGGGGAACTCGTGCTGACCCCTACAACAAACAGAGGGGGAGGTCGTTACACTGCTACAGCTCTGCAACTCAGGAAGAAACGTTAGAAAGTAGTGTTAAGGACTTTTGGGAGTAACGCCAGTCGTCGAAACGTTAGGCCGATTTAATAAAAAGTTCCACCTACCAACCTCGTGATGCACAAGACTACTAACACAACTCACCATGCCGAGGTTGCAAGAAGAGAGAGAGAAGCTGGGAAATTCTCTTTACAGTTAGTAGTCTCTTTGACACAAAAGGTTCTTGGAACGTAGTTTTATTGATTACTTCATCATAATTGTGATGTAGTTAGCTGCGTTAGGAAGAGGCCATCTTAGCGATAATACATGCCACCTGAAATCCGATGATTTTTCAGCACCGTGTCAAACGCTGGCCTCAGCCCGGCAAACAAGTTCATCATGGACGTGCCCATAAGAAGCTAAGAGTTCGCGACAAGAAGAAGGTAGGTTAGATTAGAGACAGCCCCCGCGCTCAAGTAGTACATGGACGTCCTTCCTTGTGCAGGTAGTTCAGCCCCCAGGCTAGATACTATCCCACCCTCGCGACTCCACAATGGGCGAGAAGCGAGCTACAGCCGCTGGAAGTTCTAGTTCCAACGCCCACCCATCTGGACCGCCCTTTTGCTAGCTGCCCTCCGACGGAGAGCCGCTCAGTTGTTCTTTGTTGGGACGGCGGGCATTAATCGGAACCGCATATACTTTTTGCTAACTGCGCTCGTGCCCATATATAATTCTGCTCTCCTTCATCACATTTTATTCATTGGGAGCAGATACAGTCAACTGCAACCAATCTCGTAAGGTAAAACGCATAAAAATCACGAATGATGCAGTTTCTGTGGTGCAAAAGCTAGACATGTACCAAAAGCCGCACACTTCCCGTAACCCTAAATTCGGACGCCAGGTTTTTGAATTTTTCCGTTTTTCAAGTGTTTTTCGTTATCGTCTTTGTTGCTTTTCATACTCTTTTCTTTGGATTGGATGTTGTCCACTACTGGGAAATGCCATAAAGCGATTTGTGAGCCATGGGTTGCACAGGGACCACAAGGCGGTGTAACTGTAAGGGAACAATTTTGTTTGTGGTATTCTTGAGAGCTGTTGTTGCTTCTTTCCTACATTGAGGAATAACTTATCAGCTACTGTTTCATAATTGATCAGCAATTATCCTTGAACTTTTATCGCGGGAGCTGTCTTTAACTCGAATGTCGTGGAATACTAGTTAGTTCGTGCTATTATAAAAAGATGCTTAGAGCAAACTTTATACACTTATTTCTGTTAATTCTGGCTCGTGTTCATGTGAATGAGCTCGCAGCTGCAGTAGTGTGTCAACTGCTCCGTTCGAAAGTGCACGAGAATGGGACTGGAGGGTAGTGATATCCTGGTGCCGCTTTCCGAACCCTTCCACGCACCGTACGCCAAACCACAGCCGCACGCCTAACCGTACCTAGGTGCGCTGCTTGTCTGCGCCCTCCTCATCTGATTATTCTTTACTGCGTGATCGCTGCGGAATTTAATTATTGGCGCGAGTGCCTCACAATGAGAACACCTGCAGAACCGTGAAAGTACTGAGTATCAGTGCTCTACAGCTATGTATAACACTTGAACTAGAGCTCTTGTAAGTGTATGTGATTGCTCTGTCGCGAAAATTAACAAAAATTCGTGGTAATGGGATTGAGATAACCTGACCAATTATTGGGGCAGAGATGTCGATTACTGGGCCATTTTCATTGGCGCACCCACCTCCATCACCATGTTAGAACGGAAGGACGCAACGGTAAAAAGTCACTATGGTGAGCCGTGCACCGCCCATATGACCAACGTAGAATATGTCTTCAAAAGCATAATTCGCAATTATTGAGAAGAAGCGTGTGGAGCTGGTGGAGTGATCTTCTGCGAAACGAAGCGAGAAACGGCGGGCGCCACATTCCGCGCGCACTCTCAGGGACTATCCTTGATTGGCTCCCGTCCTGCCGGCAAGCATTTCACCCCAACATCCGAAGGCTAACTTACAGAATTAATGCTGGCCAAGTTTTTTTTTTCGAAGAAATTGATTTCTATCTTTAGAGTGCCACTGTCGTGAAGCACCACAGAGCGATGAGGGTCCGTAGGGCAGAGATGGCTGAAGAGCAGAAACAGGTATATAGAGGGAGTCGTTCTCATTTCCCCCTTCATGAAAGTGCACTCATCCTGTTGAAGGGTGCATAGCTCGCTTGAATTCGGCTAATTTAACGAACTTCTTTCAAGGAAGAAGAGAAGAAGCATCAGAAGATGGACTCGAGCTCTTCGCAAAGCGAAGAGTCACATGAGAAAAAGGAGAGACCGGTCAGATCATTGGTCACTCGTGAATTAATCCCTAAAGGTTACCCGCCAAATGAGCCGCAATCCGAGGAAACGATCGAACGCGACAAAACACTCAAAAGCCTTTATCCTTTTGATTTGTTCTGAATAAACTACAAATAGAGTTCGGTAGAATGCTCAGATGGGGTACTTCATTCAGTCGATATTTTAATAAGATTCTTTCCGGTTCATATAATTCTAGTCTTCTCACATTTGTAGATCACCGCAACTCTCTTTGTATCCATAATTAATGCAAATTTTATGATATCCTATAACAGCGGGAGGTATATATCATTCAAGATTGTTGTAAATTTTTTACAATGAAATAGCTCTGTGTAAAAATTGAATAAAATTGCTTTACGTAACAATTCCACCCACTAAGACGCTCCTTTCTGAAATATTTCCTCTACTGAGTACTGAATACTGAAATACTTGAGCTGCAGATCTCGCTCGACTTCTAGCCACTGTTATTGCTGCGCTACCGGGAACTCAGCTTTTCTTGTCAGACGTCGCCACTCTCACCTATGCCGAGCTTCTTCTGCCTTGGCTCTGGTGAGGGGAACGGTGATGACGTGTCTCCTCTTTTTCTTTTTCAATTTAGAAGTACACTTCGCACAATTTCGAAGTCACGCGAGTGCACATGACAATCAATGGGCCAAGCAGGAAAAGCTAGCGCGGGTTACAATTAACAACCTCTTACTAGATCCGCTACTGTTGTTAGTTAGAGCAATATGGAGCTAAAGAGCAAAGTTACCCACGCTGCACCATATCTGTCGTCCTGCTGCTCACTGAAGGGGCTCATCCCTCTTATTCACACACACACACAACATCACACACACACAGCACATCACACACACACACACACACACACACACACCACACACACACCCACACACACCACACCAACACACAACACACACACACACACACACACACACAACACACACACACACACCACACAACACACACCACACACACAGACACACACAACCACACACACACACACAACACACACACACACACACACACACACACAGGCACACACACACACACACACACACACACACACACACACACACACACACAACACACACACACACAGCACACACAACAGCACACAACACACACACACACACACACACACACACACACACACAACACAGACACACACAACACACACACACACACACACACACCACACACAACACGACACACACACACAACACACACACACACACAACACGCACACACACACACACACACACACAACACGCTGCAGCGGGACGAAGGAGCTTGTCGACGTTCGGCGCTTCAGTACGACAACACGCACACAAACACACACACACACCAAGCACAGAACACACAACAACCCTCCTAATAAATGTTCGCCTACCGCTCAAGAAACAGGACCCTATTCAGAGCTCTTCAACGGTTCCTTCGCTTTTTTTTCTTAGAACCCAGATTTCAGCCTTCAATCACATTATGGGAGCCAACAGAAATGCCATCATCGTTTATACCTGGCGATGACGCGCTGTAACGCGCGTTGGCGCGCTATCACTGCAGGGACGCACCAATGCTATAGACGCCAATGCAGCCGTAGACGGGATTCGACCGGCCTGGCCACTTCCCTAAAAGAGGATGGATAGCGGGATGTAGGTGCTGCTTTCACTCATTTTGGTACATTCGTATTCCTTTATACTCTCCCAAGCACGAGCGGCCAGTGCCGATCGAAACCAGACTGACGATTGGGCAACTCGTACCATCCTATTCTCCCATACTCTCTCGGAACACAAGCGACCAGCCTGACCGATTCCCGTCTGCGGCTGCGGTCGCGTGTATAGCGTTGGAGCGCTCTTGCAATTGAAGTGCATCGACGGGCGTCATCGCGAGGGCTGAACGCAAGGCTCATACAACTACTGAATATCTCAAGGTATTCAGTTTGCAGTTGGCACTTGTAATATTTTTGGTTCCAACAAACCGACCCCGAAATATAGAGGATTTATGTAGCATCGAACCTTTCAATGGGGACAGACATGTACGCTGACAGCTGACTGGTGACATATAGCCACTGGGTCATATTTCATGGCCCCTAATGTCGCTCTGTAATTGACAATTTCATAATATTTATTACAAAAAAAATATCGACACGCGATTGTCTTCACAAAAATAGCGATATTGTACAGTGTAATAGGTAATCTATAAGGTACAAAAGATATGAACGTAAATCAAAAAGATTTCAGAACTGATCGCTTCGTATCACAGTAAGTACACATGAGGGTAACCAAAGATTTGTTTTTCTGTAAAGACTACATATAATGGAAGATATGTCCCGTATTTTCGTGAGCCTCTCATTCTTTACAGGCTGAGGAGAACGTTGAACGACAAACTGTACACTCATCTCCGAGACCCTTGTCATGCCGTAGAACGGAATGGTACGTTAACAAGTGTGACACTTTTTTTTCACTCGTAAGCGCCCGGAGAGAAAGCAGAAGGACAAATTATAGCTCGATGCTGACTGGAACTCCGCCCGTGGCAGTCCCAGCACTAGCAATGATACCAAATTCCAGCAGCGAGAGTCAGAGAGCAAGCACATGTGAGAGGGCGCAGGTAAGCAGCGCGTTCGGCTACGGCTAAGCGTACAGCTGGCCGCGCTGCAGCGAGGGTGGAGTCCAAAACAGCGTCGAACTATCGTTACACTTCAGCTTCATTCTCGCGCGCTTTCGAGTGATGAAAGTGATACACTTTAACAGCCAGTCCGTTCTCTTCGCATGAGCCAAGGAACAGAATCGTCGGATGTGAGCGTTTAGTTTGACCTCTACCCGAAAATGACGCCCTAGCACGTCATCTACGGATTACAGGAAGTTCTCTCAAAATGGCCACACATAATACATCCTATTCGGGACGCTCTGACTAATCTCAGTATGATAAGTGTATCTCTTGGACGGCACGATGATGACAGAAGGAAAGAACAAGGTTGATATGTGAAACTCGAAATTGGTCCTCTAAAAGGCAGAAAATATGGAATGGATCATACAGGAGAGGTTGCTGTCTGGCTGAAGAGAAGTACTAGCCATTAGTGCTACCGGAAAGTGCGATGATAATTATCCGTGTAAGAGTAATTTGAGTAGCCACTGAAAAAAAAAGAAATTTCAAGATACGAACTAAAGACAGTAGGGCGAAAGTGTGCAGTAACTGCAATACTTACAAAAACTTTTTTTTTGAATTCCGGGAAGACAACTCACGGCTTTTGTCGTGTTTCATAAGTATCTGTGATAAATGAGGACAAATGATGATGATCAGGTGGCGTTTCCACAACACTGAAATTTGCTTTTTCATGAGATATATTAAAAGTTATGTAAACAGTAGGTCGGCACACGCACAAAAGTTCATTGAATCCTCGGAGCTCAAAAAGGGAGTAAAAACAAGAAAGAATTGAGTTAAGATGGTGATGATTTAAAAAAAAGAGAAAAACATGGAGATCAAGGGTCCCATTTCGCGATCACAATCGTCGATAGTGGGGTTTAAAACAAATTTATACGAGTTAAATGACTGGAAGCGAGATGAAAATTGATAAAGAATATCGAAAACACCTCAAAAGAAGCCCGGCCGGCTTTCAGCGTAGGACGAGCATGGTGTGATTAGAGACGCAGAGACGCTCAGTGGCGCGAGCGAGAGAGCAGCCGTTTGCGGTCGATAGAACACAGCAAACGCGCACAAGCAAATGAAGGTGGGTATCTTAATAATATGGGTGGCGCCAGATCCAGCAGGTTAGGATTAAAATAGGGAGGCAGAGAAAGAGTACGAAAGGCAGAGAAAAAAGTAGAGGGTCAGAGAGTTAGAGAGACGAAAAAAAGAGAGAGAGAGAGAGAGACAGAGAGAGAGAGGCAGGAAGAAAGACTTAGACTGGGAAACGAACGTGGCCGCTCGACATGGAAGGGTCTGGTATGGTATGAGGATTGCCAACAGTACACTTTCGCCGAGGACTCCTCACTATATGCGAGGATAACGGGCTGGCAGCTGTACAAGTATGAACTTTCGCCACTCGAAAGCGCGCGGAAATGAGGCTGAAGGGTGGCAATAGCTCGACACTGTTTACGTCTCCGTCCGTGCTATCCTCAATGTGTAGCTTTTGCGTCAATACTAAAATCCCGCAGCGAACCCGCAACCACATGTAGAGAGCGGCTATATGTGAGAGGGCACAGACAAGTAGCGCGTTTGGCTATGGTGAGGCGTGTGGCTGGCTGTAGAGCATGTTGTCTGTGAGCTTTGCCTGCGGGTGGAGACGGGAACGATCCCGGTCATCACTACCTTCCAGTCTCATTTCCGCGTACGGTCGAGTGATGAAAGTGTCACACTCCTGCAGCTGCCAGCCCGTCCTCCACGTACGTGGCAGGGATCACAATCTTCCGAGGTAAACGTACAAGTTGAGGAGCTTTGATGAATTGAAAAAGAGCAGGAAGGCAGTAGAAAACAAGTATTTTGTTTCATTGAGTATATCGAGAACGATATCCCCCTCTCCGAGGTATCTCTCTGACTTCAAAAAACAACAGAAGCAACCTCACCATTTTGGAAATGAGTGCATTTTTCCGTACAGATTAATAAGTGCAGTAGCAAAAATAACCATTGGCACAAGGCACACAGACTTATCAGCATGGACATCCAGGCACCATTCTGTAAATTTTTCGTAAATATTTACTTCTCATAGTACAAATATTAGTGGTCACAAGGAACTAACCAATGGATCGATCGTATAATCACAAACTGCGGCTGTTGACGACGAAATTATCGCTCCAACGGGGGCACAGGACGAGATGTCGTGTTGCATCTAAAATATAAATTTTGACTATGGAATTCTGGTCGAAGGTCGAAAAGTCGTGAGATTCCACTACAGTAACACCAGCAGAGATTACGGTAGTCCTAGGAATGTTTTAAACAAAAAAAAACAACAAAAGATCACGGTACTCAGCGCTTACGTGACCCCAACCTCAAAAAACCCCATCTCTCAGGTAATCGCACGATGTGGCTTTATACTGCTGAAAAAATCATTACCTGATACTTAACGTGATCGATATATTGATTGATATTGGACACTATATCGTCCCGTACTTGCCCAGCAGCTTTTTCTATAGTGCCTCGCAAATTTTCAGAAAGAAGAGCTTGAGCATGTTGAAGCTTACTCAGCAACGTACCCACTGGCATTTCTATTTCTTCAAGCCTGGAATTTAATTCATTTGAGATCTCAAGTTTTTTCTCGGAAATTATTTCGATGATTTCAACAGTAATATCTCGCCGTAATAATAGGATACCTTTTATTGAGTCGTGTCAAGTTTTTCATTAGCGACGTGAGCTGGAGTCGAAGGGGTTGACCGAAATGTTTATCGACCTCTCGAACCTGATCCAACATCTGTAACAGTTTGTATACATTGCTCAAATTCCTTGCGCTATCAGAATTACTCATGCCATACGGATGCTGACTTAAAGACAGCTCCCGCGCTCAAGTAGTACATGGTCGTCATTCCTTGTGCAAGTAGTCCAGCCCCCAAGCTAGAGATATCCCACCGCGACTCCACAATGGGCGAGAAGCGAGCTACAGCCGCTGAAAGTTCTAGTTCTAATGCCCACCCATCTGGACCGCCCACTTGCTAGATGCCCCTTGACGGAGGGCCGCTTAGTTGTTCATTGTTGGAGCGGTGGACATTAATCGGATTGCATGTCCTTTTTGCTGACCACGCTCGTGCCCATAAATAATTCTGCTCTCCTTTATTACATTTTATTTATTAGGAGCACATGCAGCCAACTGCCATCCATCTCGCAAGGTATAACGCGTAAAAATCGCGAGCGATGCAATTTTTGTGGTGCAAAACTTCGACATGCACTGAAAAATGCACGCTATCGTAACCCCAAAGCCGGCGCCGAGTTTTTGAAATTTTCTGTTTTTTTTGGCGTTTCTCGTCTGTGTTTTTGTTGTTTTTCGTATTATTTTCTTTGCACTGGATGATAACCACTACTGGGATATGCGACAAAGCGATTTGTGAGCCAGAGGTTGCACAGAGACCGCAGGGCGATGTCACTGTCAAGGAGAGAAACTGTTCATGGTGTTCCTACGGGCTCTTCTCGCTTTCTTTCATCTTTGGGGAATTACTTATCAGCAACTGTTTCAAAATTGAACAGCAACTATCCATGACACCTTTATCGCGGGAGCTGCTAATAAATAAACTGAAACCAAAACTCAAAGGAAACTATAATTCAGAAGGCATTACGATATCCGGGTACATAGCTGGGCTATTCAGTAAATAGAAAAGAAAAGCGGGAAATCGGCAAGGCAGCTTTCAAAAGGATTTTGCGAATGGCTAATAGAAGTAATAGACCGTGGATAAGTTGACCAGGTGCCAACCACAGATGTTGCACCCTAGTTCCAACTCAGAGATGCACAACAAGCGCGCTATAGACCTGTCATTTGTGCCCGTTAGGCCCATGCCAGCGCACGTTCGTTGGCGTGTGTTGCTATCTGCCGTCACGCCTATCTTTGCGTTCTCTTATCCTTCGCCTCTAGTTCCTCCCCTCCCAAAACGTTTCTCACGTTTCCATGTCCTCCTCAAAAAGATCGAAATCAACTGTTAGCTGTTTTGTTGTTTTGTTTTACCTTACTTATTGTTTTGTTTTACCTTACTAGCGAGCCACCTGGGTTGCAACTCCATGGCCGAGGTTTTATTCTCACTAGCAGCCCTTTTACCCATGCATCTCCATGACTGAGCACCATCAGATTCTACTTACAATCACAAAATGGGTGCTCAACTGAGACTTGTATGAACTAATTGGCATGAGCGATATTCTGTACAAGCGCGACACCCTCTAGCTGCTACTTCTATAAGACATTTCGTATTTCGCCTGGTTGCATGAGAAAGTAATCAATGCTGTCTTTTCCATACGATATTTTCAAAGATGGTGCGCTCGAGCGACATCTCTTTTCTCATCAGCTTTTTCCCTCACAAATGAAGGCAAGAGGCAAATCGTGGGGGTCTAGCAGCGACCAGCTTATACCAGGTCAGGCTCTATCTATCTGACTTTGTCATTGCAATACTTTAATAAAAGCTTTCGAAGCCATTCAGCGCGTTAGCTGGGCAAACAGAGACTGGTTGTGGTGCACATACCGCTATTTCCTCTGTGGAAGTATCATTTAAATTTCGAATTATTGGATCGTGGACCCAAGAACTCACCGATTTTACTGCATTTGGTAGACCCGCAGGCTTTTCGGTCTGGCTCTCGAGAATGTTCAGTTTCGATTGAATTTCCAGGTTCGATAGTGAAGAGTTGATCTAAAAAAGTATTTTCAAGAAGCTGACAAAAGAGTGGGTTGGTCAACATAGGGGTGGTATTTGAACCGATGGGAATAGGGGTTTGGGATTGGAAGGAAGGAGATGGGTAGAGGAGGAGGCACTACTTAGCACCGGGTCCTACACATCAGAAGTGGGTCTCTGCCCTTTTTGCTAAATAGAAAAACGTCTTTAACGGCAGTTGGCACGATAAACCCCCTAGACGAGTAGGATTAACACGCCTAGTAGGGTGAGATTCCGCGCCCGTAAACAGTGCTGCGTAGCACCTTTTCCAAGAAAAGTGTCTCTATAAGGCCCTATCAAGCTGCAACATACCGATCAGGACGCCTACCGCGCCCTTCCACCCACAAACGGACGACCGTACCTGATGCACGTATTGCTTCATTTGCAAAGTACAGTATGAAGAGCAGGGATTGATATGAAGCGGCCGCGCTGCTGCAGGGATATGCGAGCACATACGTGCAGCCGTACCTACCGTAACGGCTATTGGCACGATGCCTGAGGAACTCGTCCGAAATCACTTTAGAAAAGTTTTTCTTTGCAGGTTTCTGACCGTCTCATTTCTTTGCCATTTTTCCCACTGGATAGCGCCCTACTGGTATTTTAGACCGAGTACCTGTTCATCGCGCCGTATGCCTTCAAAGCGCATTCCCAAATGGGCTCGCATCGCGAGTAAAGAAGGTTTCCAACCGTCAAGAACTCGTCACTCAGTGCAATACATAAACCGAGTTCGCTGTTCGCAACCGTACCCTGCCAAATGACTCCGCATAGCTTGTTTGGAAAAAAAGAGCAGCGTTACCGTAGTTGGGGGGGACTACTTGTCAGAGCCTCCAAACCCATTTTCTGAAAGGTTCAGGCTCAGAGGAGCGCAAACGATCAAGGTCATCGAGAGGAAATTCCGCACGAAAGACATAGTCTTCATTAAGCCTAAGGCACGAATGGAGCTAGGGACATGGAGGTGCTCGCGAATTGGTCTTCCTTCCCCCCCCCCCTTCTCAACTACGTCGGTCCCTTGAAACAAACTTACCTCTGCGAGGGGAAAACGTTGATTTTCAGACTGGTTGAGTCCTGCTGCGAGTTTTTGCAGACGCTCAAAATCGGCATTTGATATTATATTATTCATAGGCCCTATAGCTGGGAGGTCCGTCAGTGTGATGTTGAGGAATCTTTCCAATTTGTCGACATATTCTTTCACAAGCGTCTAAAAATCCAAAATGGTATTCACATCTGAACTCGATCAATATATTATTACCTTCAGTCGTTTCAAATTGTATTTTTTATCGAGTTGAAATATGTCGTAAAGTGTTTCATTACGTTGACAGGCTCGTATCACATCTGCCAGAGAATGATCACGCAGTTGCGATACCAGATCATCATCAGAGTGTCCTTTATTGCGCATTATATCCAAGTATCGTTCGCCCAGCTGGAAAAGGATATTTTAAGAACTTTACTGTGCTCTCATCAACTTCTCCGAGGAATAAAATTCCTGTAGTTCATAACGTCGTAACCAGTCGGGGCGCGGTCAGTTCGGGTGAAAGGAGCCCGCCGAGGAAAATGGGCTTCCTTGTACAACTCATGCAGAAAAAGACGTCAGTAAGTGACATCTGGAGGATCCCTGGGCATTCCTTAGCCGTAGCGCTACGCATCTTGTCGGAAAAGATTTTTAAGAAAAACGTCTAAAAAAGAATTCCTTGGTCAAAGCCAACATGTCTGTGAGTATCGAGAAAAAGCATGCCACTTTTAGAGGACGAATTTCTGAGGCTGCGTTCATACTTTGCGGCAGCGTCTACTTGCATTTCGACCATCCAGCACCGTCGGCGACTGGGAAAGTACAGATACCAATCTAGCATCTGCCAGCGTCTCCCAGCCTTCACCAGAGTCTCGAGGGCTCGAGAAGTGTAGGTATCGATCTAGCGTCTACCAGTAGGCCAGCGTGCACCAGCGCTCCCAACGCTCGGGAGAGGATAGTATGGCACGACGGGAGGGTAGCAACAGCTGATACCCTCTTATCGTGCCATACTCTCTATCAGCAGTCTGCCGCCCTCATATCTCAAGTTACCCTACCAGCTGTCTGCTACCCTCTTATCGCGTCATACTACCCTTTCCCAGACGCCGGGAGACGCCGGTGGACGCTGGCACACGCTGGTAGAAGCTAGATTGGTGCCTATACTTCCCAGGCCCTCACGTTGGTGCACGCCGGGAGACGATGGCAGACGCTAGATAGATATCTGTACTTTCCCAGTCGCTGACCTTGCCGAACGCTCGAAACGCTAGTGGATGCTGCAGGAAAGTATGAACGCAGCCACAAGGATCTCGCTTACAGGCATGTTATGATCCTTAACCCAACTAACATCGCTCGATGAGATAGTGTGTACAATATAGCCAAAACCGCGCTCATTTTTAACTAAATGTACAGTCATTACCCTGTAAATAACAGGGCTTGTGATGGGAGTCAACTGGAGCGCAGCCAGGGCGGCCTCCACCAATGATGCCATCCTGTCCCCTTTACCATTGGGGGAAAAAGCGCTGGCTACACTCCAAACCACGCCCACATCACACGCCCTATCGCAGGTATCATGACCATTTATTTATGTGGGAAATTACTTTAGTTACATAACAAAGAATATATAGAGAGAACCGTCAACAAACCTCAATAATGTCATTACGTGAAAGTGGATCGCGTAGAGTTCGGCACACTATATCAGAAGTGTTCCCGACAAAGAAGAACAGCACAGCCGTTATTACAGAAAGCACAGTAAACGTTAATATAACCAACCAAATTCCACTGAAACTAATTACTTAGTCTTTCAGAAAAAAATAAGAATAAATAGTGGGTTCTAAACAATCGGTTTCATACCATGAGTAAAAGCGTCCACCAGTTGATCGTACACAGCAATCGTCATTATAGAATGTTGGCCGACGGCCACATATACCGTAGAATAATCCAAGAAGAAAACAGAACGCAATCAGCATGAATATCGACGTGATCACTAGCGAGATGGTTTTACTGAAAATTATACCAATTTACGGAAATTTTAACTGGCTGCGTTCTTAAATTTGTTTGAGAGATAGAAAAGTACTTAAGAGCAGAGGAAGACATATTTTGTTACATGCAGCCTGATCACTCGCCAAGTCTCGCCTCGCTCACTATGACCACAAGGCAGGTCCCATTAACGCTGCGCGTGAGTTGGCGTGGTCAAAAATATTAAAGACGTCGCTCGCGATCAGGAAGAGGGGGAGGGATAAAACCAGGAAATGAGGAGGTGGCGCGTGACTTATACTCGAAATCCGTGAGATCGGGTAGGCGTGGCCGGATGTTTCAACTCACCCTGAAGGTCTCCATGCTTCTGGGGAGACATTTTCATCTTGACACAACTGTTGTCGTGTCTCTGCCACACAGAACAAGATGGCACTTGCCTCAGACTGGAATCTTCCACGAGTGACCAATTTGCCATGTTCGAATGCCACGCCTACTCTGGCTCAGGGATAAGGAGTGTATCTCCGCGCCTTGCATGGCGGTAAATAAGAAAGGAAGAAGGGGTTGCTAACGACGTCATTACCCTGACTCGAGCCACCCACCGATCCTGAAAGCCGCCTTCTATACTCTAGTTCGCTGCGGAGGGTAGGGCTTGTCAGGCAGTATGAGTGTTCACACCATCGAGGCCGTCCTCACCTTCTCCTTGAGGAGTGCATGCGAAGTGGTAGAAAACGAGTACTACGAACGATACGATACAGTCTCATCACTTGCTCGCTTTGACAACTAGTTGAGAACGGGTCTGGCACAGTGCCAAACTCATCCCGCCTGACATGCCCAACCGTCTGCAGCGAACTACCCTATGCGGCTTCACGTGCAGCATTGTCGAACGGTGAGCACGAAACTTGCCGGTGCGCGGCGTTGACATATCCCACATAGCGGTACGATGCCTAAGCTCCTGGGTGCGTTGTAAGCCTCCAGCTCGAGACATATAGCCACACTAGGTGGTCGGCGGCTCCGCCACGATCATTTAAGTGATGCCAACGTCTACCCTTAGAGGCCTTAGGGACCCCTTACACCCCTTACAGTCATCCACATAGACCCTGGCCTTGCCATAGGGGGAGGGGGTGGATGGTTCCGCAGCTGTTGTAACGTTCCACATTCTCCCCTTATAAGTACACATCAAGGGGTAGAGGATAGCGATACCCTGATGCCGTCTCTCGAGTCCGCCCGTGCTGCTGCGCGCCTGACCATAGCCAGACTGCTTGTCCGTGATCTCTCTCTTCTTGCTGTTCTCAACCTCGCACTGCGTGCACGCTGCGGGATCTCGCTATCGACACAATTGCTGCACGTAATGGACAGGGCACGCAGAGTATGGAGACGGCGACGGGGGTACAACTATCCTACAGCATGTTCCCCTGCTTGTTTTACAAACCGAGAAAGTGGCACGCTATTATAGCTGCGACCAGCTCGACCTGCACACATGGAAGGGACCGTCCTCAGAGCTGGGTGCACAGTATAGCTTAAAATTATTAGGGAACCTGAATAGAATCATCGATGTATGTTCTGCTTTTACCCATTCACTCAATTCATAGAGTCGGATATCTGGCGATTCCCTGCTCGCGATAAATTCATGCTTGGTGCAGGTCTGGAGGTTCTGCTCGAACTAATTATCAGTTTTTAGGTAGCGACCTTGAACTGGACTGTACGAAACCCTCTTTGAGTCGGCTTAGTTCTGTTTATGCTGCACACGTACGCCACTTGCAGTGCCGCGTTGCCGCAACGTGAGTCTCCCGTTACACCCCATGCCATTTGGAATATCGTGTCCCGGAGTCGGAGGCCCCCGACTCTCCGTCATAAGTTGCGACCTAGGGCTTTGTTCGGAAAGCGAAGACCTTACACTCTAGTTCGCAGCGGACGATCGGGCGTGTCAAGTAGTATAAGTGTGTCACCCCGTCAGAGCCGTTCTGTCTTCTTGTAGAAGCGCACATTCGACAGAAAGTGGTAGAAAATCGGGTAGTACGTACGATCTGACACAGTCATACCAGTTGCTCGCTCTAACAACTGGTGGAGAACGGGTTTGGCACCATGCCAACTCATCCCGCCTGACACGCACAACCTCCGCAGCGAACTCCACTATGTGTTCATATGCCTACCTGTAGTGCACAACTTTAGCGGGAATGCTATCTTTGGGATCAGATGTTCGAGTAACAAATATCGTACAGACTATCGAAATTAATCTGCAAATAATCAGTGCATCGAAGTAGTGATAGAAATGGTAATAGAAAAAAAATGTGTAACAGCGTCATCCAGTTAGAGGATGCTGGATCGTTTGGAATTTTTACCTGTCGAATTTGTGTTGAGATGGTTTCTGCAACAACAAAAAGTTCGTCGGCAATTTTCTTCAGCATATCTTGAGATGCTAAAATTGGAATTGTTGAGTAATGCTATCAAAATTAAAAATGTTAAAAATATTACAACATAGCATAATCAATAAGCCGGCACGACGTAAAAACCTACGACAGATATGCGTTGCATTTGCGAGCGCGTGCGTACAGGCGCGCTAAAACTACCTGAGTAGCATGCTATTTTGCCTTTTCGTTGGGTTGCTATGAAGCGGCTCCTCTGGAGCATATGACAGCTTTTGAATCTGTTCTCCTGTGTCCTCACAACGAGGTTGTGGTCCCCTCCCTCGAAAGTTTCAGGCGACGCGCGTTGACGCAAGTCAACGCTTACGAACGCGTCCAGATTAGTATCGACACGCCAGCGGTTGCTATTGTTTTGAAAGAATATAGGAGAATAGGAAGATACCAAACTGTGACTACACGTATAAAATAGCAAAGTCTAGAGTACAGTCGCAAATCAGCTACGCTACTAATTTGTAATGTCTAGGTAATTAATTTGGTACCTCGGCAGCGTTCAGAGTCCGCGACGGCAGCGCTTCGGTCGCGCTTTCGACGCGCATGTTTTCTACTTCATCGATCTCGTTGAACGCACGATCCAAACGTTGCCGTCGCGAAGTTTGAACGCTGCCTCACTATTCTCTGATGCTCTCCGAAAACCAGTAGCGATCAATACCAGTCTATGGCTGCGCTGACGCGCGACATCGTGAAGTTTGAACGCAGCAGTAGAGAAGCGGAGTGGATGCGGCTTCTGTTCTCGCGTGACCTCCAATCCCATGAGCACCAAACCCTGATTCTGAGGCTCATGAACGAAAATAAAACCGGTAGGTAGGTTGGCATGGCGCCTTGAGAGTATACCCTTTTGAGAGAGCCAAAAGCCTCAGCAGTATTTATAATCCCGATTACCTTGTTGTTCGTATGCACGAGGCAATCTCGCCTACGGAGAAACGGGTACTGATTGTGAAGATGAATTCTGGAATTTCCAAGCTCAACCGACTTACAGTGGAGTTTTTTGTCAATTTCCGTTTGGATTTTTCCCTGCATATCTGCGAACTTCTGGGTTGTTGTGTTGAGCAGCTGAGGGATATTGGCATCCTTGATCTCACCAAGAGCTTTGTCTATACTGGGCACGACACCATCCTGAAAAGGCCCACATTAGCAGTAAATAGCATGCGGTACGACGGGAAAAGGGCAATCTATCGGAATCCCCATCCCCGCCCCCCCCCCTCCGCTTAAAATCAATCATTGAAGCTCACGAACCGCTCTTACATTTAGACAGTGATCCAAATACACCGCTGTTCATCACCAAGCGGAGCCAGGAAACGTGTATATAGAAACGAACTTTCTTCCGAGGCGAGGAAGAGCGCACCAGTGCCGTCGTTTCCAGACTCCGCCCACCCACTTGGCAAACTCGGACGCTGTCATCAACTCGATGGCGATGAGAGGGTGGGAGCCAGTTTCGAATTCGACCTACTGACGCGCGCATGGTAAGCGGGCCACTGCAACTATATACATCGCCTCTACCAACTAGTAGTAAGGATAACACCGTTCAAACTCACCAAATTGATATTCAACTGCTGCGGTGCAACACTTTCCAGAAACATCTCTGCTTTACGACATGTTGTTCTTGATGATTGCACCTCATCTTTGAGGCACGCATGCAGTTCACCGGTCACCGTCGATTTCATACGTCCGTACTCTACCTGGAAGTTACCGATTTCTTTTCATTTGTTATAATGGATAGGTAGTGATACTCCAGACAAAGAGAGTTTTTGTAGCATCCTTTCTCTAGCGGGGGTGCAAAAAGTAAGCGAGTAGGCTTGTTGAGTTGTATCTCTGCCCCAAGTCACCAACAGAGTTGAAGATAACTGGAAGCACCTCTAGATCCGGTTTTTAAGTGAGCCTTTCGGCATGCGCCATGCTCAGGCGCATGCCGAAAAGCCAGGAATAGTAGTATTAAAAAACTCGCTATAGGGTGGTGGAATGGAGTACTCTCAAGTGTACGGTCCTCAAATGGTCTTCACCCTTGGTTCACGTATATTCCTTTCATTCATGTAACGCTGAGCACTACAGGTGAAATATTCGGCTGCCGAAATTGGGACCTTCTGTTATACGCCCGTAACAGGTTTAATGCACTGGGCACATCCTGTCGAAGGAAATTTTCGCGATTTCCGCAAAATACGCCTCCCCTATACTTCGCTCTCTGGTACGAGCCCCCTTCCGAATCCCCTCTAGCACCATACAAAATTTCCTGGTTTTCACTGATTGCTGTGGGGTGGAGGGAGCAGAAGAGGGGTGGAGTTCGCCTCAAACAACCATTAAAGACACTCCCCGCGATCAAGTGGTCTTCAAAATGACCGCGCCTTTTGGAACCCTCTACGCCATGATGAAGATGATACCTCTTTCATCCCTCAATAGCGCGCAATAAGAAAGTTATAGCGATTTCGACAAGGCTCGCTAGGCTCACGGAGACGGTAGGTGGACGAGGCGTCGGGTCCCGAGCTGCTTTCGTCCCTTTAACGCCCGCGCGACGCGTGTTGCGCGCGGCCCTTCTGGCACTTTGCCATCTTCGGTGATCCTCGCTTTTTATAGCGATTAAGCGCAATCCCCGCACCGTTGGACATGAATTGAAGACGCATAGGCTGTTTTAGGGTTCCAGATGGTTTGCAAGGGCAATTCCATTAGGAGGTTGTGAACAAAAGAGCAGCAAACCTTTTTTGAATTTTATACTCTGCAAGCGATGGGAAGGACGTGATTGGAAGAGCAGTTAATTCGTTTTCCGTACTCATGGCAAGAGGAGGATAAGAAATGAAGAGCAGTTAGTGTGCTTTTCGAGCTTACCTGTGACTTTCACTAGCGCCACGGTCCCACGGCTCAAGCTTTGTGCTCACACATCGGCTATGGAGCGCGCGCCCTTCGCGCACGACGCACTCGTCCAGGGCTGCTGGGGTGACGTCTGTGTTCAAAGTGTTCCCAAGGTTTTTTCCGCTTCTTTTTCTTCTGAGAGACTACCTATGGGATACTGGTTCATGACAGAGCCTAACTACCCGCAACACTTGATCGTGGAAATTGTCTTTAAATTCAGTTTTCGAAAATAGAAGTTGTAGGACTGTCACTGCGCCACCAAGTAAGGAGGGAGAGGAGGGGAAGGGGGAGCAGGAAACGGGCAGATACGATTCCCGTCTCGAAGCAACATGCAAATTCAAACACTCCCTATGGGAGCCCTTCTATCAATGTGGGGCGCACGTGAAACAGGAGGAGTCAATCATCAAAGAATTTTCCCATGCCCAAGGATTCCGCTTCTCCCGGCGACCAAATGCGATCCTTGCTGGGGTTTTTTCAGTGCCCTCGCAGTGCAAGCAGGTCACCCAATCGTTGTGATAAACACGACGGGGAGAGGGGATCGTATTTGACAGAGAGGTAGGGGGAGGTAGCACTTGGTCTGAGGAAATTTTTTGATGGCTGATTTCACGGACGTTCTAGAGGGGGAGGGGTCGTATTTGCTCGTTGTTGTTGGGGGGGGGGGTCGCATGTGGCTTTGCGAGAGGTTTGCCCCATTAGTGAACAAAATTTCCCGATTGTCCAGCTTCTCTCTTCTTGCAACCTCGGCATGTTAGTAGTGTTTTAATATGCTTGTGCCTCACGACATCTTACAAGTAACTATCGCTCTTGTGTGGCAGCGGACACTGCCGCTCATAAGGTGGAACCGTCGGCCTCTGATGACGACGACTCAGTCGAAACGTTAGGCCATATTGAATAAATTGTTCCACCTATCAACCTCGTGAGGCACAAGCATATTAAAACATTTCCCGATGGTGATTTTTCCTGTTTCATGTGTACTATATACCCCTCTCTCACCCCCTCGGCTCGGCAGCAAAATTTTCCTGTAAAACTAGACATTTTTGTGAATGGCGGAAAAACTGTAGTTTTCGCCGAATAGCGGAAAAACTGAAAAAAGTGGAAGGAAGTCAGAAAATCTGGGAAAGTGGCAGGTGGATGGGGGGGGGGTGGGCGTATCAGAGTGTGGAACTAGGGGCATCGTGTTTTTCGGGAATTCATCACAACGAAATGGTTTGACCTGACAAGGGAGGTGTTTCAGGTCATGGCGCGCTTTTCGGAAATGGTTTGTTGCTTGTTGTAGGGGTCCATACGAGGGTCACAAAAATGGGTTTCATTTTTGCTATGCGTTTCTGGGTAGGTCAAAAACTGAATGAAAAGTACTTGACAGAAATGGGCAGTTTTAACAATGTTTTGATGGGCTCCGTTCTGCTTGTAACTTCGAGCATGCATAGTTTATGAGGTGGTCACTAATTAGGCCTCAAAATAGATTCGATTAAAGTCAAAATGTAAGCGTCATGTGGTAACACACTCGGCATGCACCGACGCAAGAGTGTGTTTTTGTCAGCGCTCCCTTCATGATCATTGCTGGCGGATCGGATGGCGTAAGGGATAGCACGATGGATTCTGGACGGCACGAATGCGCGACTCGGTTCGGATCCCCATTGCGGCTACACTTTTCATCTGTATCAACGCGACGAGACGTGAACATTTCCGGAAACAAGGTTCTCCATACGACTGTGCTGGTTTGTAAGGTGTCATCCACGAAAGGCCACCAGGACAACCTGGGCATTTGCAGTGAGTGCATATCATTGTACTCGTCTTAACACAGTGAACTCGAAACTACCTTCAAAATTTGCGGAACGGTTCTCTGAGCGGAGTTATGGAGGTTTTTTCACTGTTTTTCTTCTTGCAGGTGGGCTGGCGCAGTGAACTTGCACCAGTAGCGCGACTCACAGCTCTCTCCGTGCGAAACAGGTATCATATTCGTGTTCAGGGGGTCAAACAACCCCTAGAAACCCCACCTTGAGTAAATCCGAGATTCTGACTCAACTTCGAAAAAACGGGGTAGATCTCTACTCGTTTTTGGTCGTTTCTGGTCACGCCTGGACGATAGCCAATATTCCGACTAGCATACTGGTGATGACTGGTCTTTACACTAAAATAACCCTTCAGTCATGTCTTTTCGCAAAGAACAATACCTGGCTCACTTGTTCGTGCCGCCTGCATCATTTTCCTGATTACCGGTAGAAAATTCCATTCCAAGACCAGTCATCCATGGTGAGTGGATCCCAGCCTGCTGCTAAATGTCCATAGAATGGCCCACATTTTCCAAGTTAGGTCGAAACTTCAGATTTGGATAGAAATTAGTCCCCAGGGGTAATCCAACCCGCTATACATAAATGTGATGGTATTTCATTGCAATAACCCTTCTGACATGAGCTACGAGGGGCAGCACAAGCACGCTTTCAGGCCACAATGTGGCCACAAGTATATGCCTTCAAATGGCATATACTTGACATATTTCCACTGCCAGACACACAGGCACGCGAATGAATGGAAAGCTGAAAAATGCAGAACATTTCCCGCGACGAGGATCCGATCCCCAAGGTCCCCCCTTGCCTGCCAACCAGAACCCGTCGTGTTATCCATTGCGCCATCCGATCCTCCGGCAATGGTCATGGAGGGTTTGCTGACAAAAACATCACTCTTGCGTCGATGCATGCCAAGTGTGTCACCACATGATACTTACATTTTGACTTCAATCGAATCTCTTTTGAGGCCTACTTTGTGACCACCTCATAAGCTATGCATGCTCGAAGTTACAAGAAGAAACGAGCACATTAACTTTGTTAAAACCGCCCATTCCTGTCAAGTTCTTTTCACTCAGTTTTTGACCTACCCAGAAATGCATAGCAAAAATGAAACCCATTTTTGAGACCCTTGTATGGACCCCTACAACAAACAACAAACCATTTCCAAAAAGCGCGCCATGACCTGAAACACCTCCCTTGTGAGTGCAGGAGCTGCACTTTATGGTAAGTTACCAAAGCGACTGATTTCGGCAGGCAGAACTGAGCACCATCAGATACGCAAATTTCTACGTATTCTGCTGATACTCTGAAAATTGGAGCTTCTGGAGTACGCCCCACTCCATAGGTTGCCGTATCCTAACAGACTGGTATTGAGTGGCACGGAGCGGGAGAGGGGTGGAGTTCGCCTCAAACAACCATTAAATTCAATTTTCGAAAATAGAAGTTGTAGGACTGTCGCTGCGCCACCAAGTAAGGAGGAAGAGGAGGGGAAGGGGGAGCAGGAAACGGGCAGATACGATTCCCGTCTCGAAGCAACATGCAAATTCAAACACTCCCTTGGGAGCCCTTCTATCAGTGTGGGGCGCACGTGAAACAGGAGGAATCAATCATCAAAGAATTTTCCCATGCCCAAGAATTCCGCTTCTCCCGGCGACCAAATGCGATCCTTGCTGGGGATTTTTCAGTGCCCTCGCAGTGCAAGCAGGTCACCCAATCGTTGTGATAAACACGACGGGGAGAGGGGATCGTATTTGACAGAGAGGTAGGGGGAGGTAGCACTTGGTCTGAGGAAATTTTTTGATGGCTATTTCACGGACGCTCTAGAGGGGGAGGGGTCGTATTTGCTCGTTGTTGACACTCGAGACGCGTCTAGAAAACGGGGGCAAAAAATTAACAACCGTAATGCTTTTTTCCCGAAGCCAAGTACGACCCTCTTCCCCAGCGGGGGTCGTACTTGGCTTCACTGAGCAATAACACCTCTGATAAACTTCGCAAAACAATTACGTTCACCGATTGAACGCGCACAAAAATTCCACTTATTAATCCAAAAAACTATCTTCAAAAAGGATTGGAAGAAAGTGTATATAAAACGCACTTTGAACTTCGAGTAAGTATCGACGATTTTATCTATTTGTACACGTGAATCCCTCATCATCTGATCGATTTCTTCCGCATCTAAAATATACTATCAATCTAGTAGGTTTTCAGGACCTATTTTTAGCTTCATTTGAAAAGGTTTTAACGTACTTTTGCTAATATTCATGAGCGCATCTACTGTGTTCGCACCGGTGAGTTTTTTTACTCTTTGAACAATCTCATGCCCGGCATTTGATAGCTGTGACGTCATCGTACGATTGAACATTTGGTAGTCGTCAATCAGTAACTTTCGTATCCTCTGAAAAGTAGCATGAATAAGGACTGCATTATGATGTTCAAAAAAACTATTTCGTCGGTAGAATCAAGGGAGAAGAGCGGATGGTAGAAATTTAGGTAGTCTAGGAATCAACTGCGGCATTATTCAACCACTGCTACCCCAGAATCTCATTTTTTTTGCCCAATTTCGCACTGTGGAATACCCCAAAGGTGGAGAAGGCGTGACTGCGCACTGTACTTTAGTGGGGGATGCTCTTTTGCCTAACATCTCTGCTGGCAAAAAACTCCCCTACTGTCCTTTTCTGGTCAAAAGTACGATTACAACGGTCTCATAACGAAAATAACCTACTAAAAGAGCACTAGCCGGCACGCTCAAATGAATTAACAGCCACGCCCACTCCATCTGTGAGATGTGGAGTGTACTCATAGTTAAATATGCGAGTTTGCATCAACGCCGGTAACGCTCGCCCTTGGGATTTTCAGAGATTTTCAGGTAATTGTAGTCGAATACCAGTACTACTAGCATTTCAAGCATTTCATACGATTTCAGTAGTTTCAACTCGGAACTTCAAACATCGACCAATTAAATCCTAAAAAGGGGGCTTGAATCACTGAGTTCGAATTCAAGCAAACTTACAGTATCAGTGTCACGTTTATAAAGATTCAAGTCGTCGATGCAGTAGTTCAAGCGATTCGGCAATTGTTCTAGCCCCATTTGAGCATACTGACCCGTGATCAGTAACGTTGCCGCAGCGAACCTAAAAGTTCCGAGAAAATATCGCCTGTGGGAGTTCTGAATAAGTACCTACACTTTTTGAATTTTCTTGGTTACACGAATGAATGTACTGCTATCTGATATTAGTCCAGAGCCAACTCGAATCCTTGCGGATCTCACGGGACTTCTAACGAACATCACGGTACCTGCTAACCCGACCAGTGTACAGCATTTCGGGAATCGCATGGGGTACTGCTTGGCCACCGGGAAGAGGGGATCATAATCGTTTTCTCTGCGCAAAATTTCCCTGGTGTTGATTTTTACACTACTTTTTGCCGTTTCATGTTCGCCTCGTTATATGAATGGGGATCCATCGCTGCAGTACTGTGCTACACCGCTAAAAAGGGCTCGTTATACGTTCTCTCACTTCTGACCGATAGACAAAAGCCAGAAGTGAGAGGACGCAGACAAGTAATGTTTGGCTGTGGCTAGGCACGCGGATTACCGTGCGGCAGCGCGGGCGGAACATGAAGACGGCAAGCGGGTATCATTACACTCCTCATACCTCAGAAAATAGAGTTTACTTGCAAACGAGAACGGGGCTACAGGTTTCGGCACCCGACTGCCGTCTCCATACTCCGCCAGCGCTATGCTCAGGGTGCAGCGCTTGCGTTGAAACCAAGATTCCGCAGCGAAAAAGGCCTTCACCCATAGAGAAAAGCCAGAAGTGAGAGGACGCAGACAAGTAGCATGTTTGGTTATGGCTAGGCGTGGTGACCGTGCTGTAGCGCGGGAGGAGCATGAAGATGGCACGGTATCAGTGGATATCCTTACCCTCCTAAGTCCTCAGAAAATGGAGTATACTTGCAAACTTTGTGAGCGTCGTTGATATGGAACTTACACGTCTAATAAAACCAGTAACGCCATAAATACATTCAGCGAATTCCGCTTGCACCCGTCGTAGCGTGAGTCTGTATTCTCCTTTCTTGACGAACTTGAACAACAACACATACAACACCTGTAATTGAAACTGATATTTAATCTATAACATCATCTTAGAAGTTAAACTTGGCAAAAATCATTAGGAGACGGTCAGAGAGATCATGAATATTCCTAAGAACATTCCTGAGTTACCAGTAACTCACTACAACTACGCACTTGAACATCAATAAGAAACGAGCGACTGAAGGCAGTGTACAGCATCGCGGGGAGAATCCCACCAGGGAGTAGTACCTGATTGCTAGGGAAAGGTGTTCGCTTTTCAGAAAGAAAAATTCCCGAGCCGCGAGAAAATATTCTCCAGCTGTTGACTGTCTCCGATTTTACCCGTTTTGGCATATCGTTCAACCGTAATTTTTTTCTTGGAGGGGAGGGAATTTATAAAAGATGTTGGAAAAAGCTAGGAGATGGTAGGTAGGATGGAAAAGGGGGAGGGGTCGTACCAGACGAAAATGAAGGCGAAAATGGTCGTACTGACCCCACAATTTCACACATCAAAATGTTTAGCCCTGCCTCAAGAACGGAAATCTGTTGTGAACTAAGTTTGAGAAGGTCATTGGTTAACTCTCAATTCAATACTGCTACTCTCAAGTTATTCTTTTGTTCCCCTTAGCATGCTTGTCCCTTTTGTGCTATTTTCATCAGAATAATGATTCCTAGACTTTATCCTTTTCCGAAAATCTGCCAGTGTGATTAAACAACCGCTACAGAGTGGACGCATCAATCCTGTAACAGAAACGTGAGCTAAAAAAGTTGTGGTGAAACGAAAGCCCATCTCACGTATCCTCCCCCTCCTTGAGCTATGCCCCTCTGTTTCTGCCTGGATACAAATAAGAATTCCAGTCATCGCGCAGCAACAACTGGTTTAGAAAGAGCTTGCAGTTTCCGTCGCCTTGCAGTTATGGTAATTTCATAGATTGTAAGTCATGCGTGAGTTCGAAGCACCTGGGGAGTTACTGTACCCAGTCACTATTTGAACCCTCACTTTGGTGCATATCGAACAGCTGCTTTTGTGGGGGCAAGGTTATTTCGGGGCAGGGTACAGCATCGTGATGTGTGGATGGTAGTGTAGGTACGATGCCCCCTCCGAGAAAGGGTGTCAGCACGACCCCTCCCCCACCTAAATGAGGTTATCGGTACGACTCTCCCCCCCCCCCTCCATCTTTCCCAACACCTACCTACCCATTTCCCACATTTTCCAGTCCAGTTGTCTACCCAATTTCCCGGGGGAGAGGATATAGCCAATTTAAAGAGGAAAATTTCTTAGATTTTCTCCAACTTCCAACCACTTTTCCCGGACCGAGATCCCGAGAATTTCCCTACTTTTCCACAAAAATTTCGCTGTCGCGGGGAGTGGGGGAAAGGGTTGGAGGGCATATAGTACACATGAAACAGGAAAAATCATGCAAAATTCAACAACCAGAGAAAAATTTCTCTCAACGCAGCAATTCGCTTCTAAAGGCACATACGAGCCCAACGACAAGAAACGCCCCTGCGCTTTCCCAGCGAAAAGTACGGCTTTCTATGTGTTTCACTACGCGGAGGAGCGACTACGCCAGCCATCTCCGTTCGTCCGCACCTGTTTGGTGAGCTTGCAAGCCCCTGAAGGGGAATAGGCGCTTTTCTTCTACTTGTAATCGACTCGCGGTGAGAGGGTGCAGACGACTAAAGATGATGTATCGCAGTTGCGCCCTGCCTCTCCCTTATATCTTTATCCTCTACATCAGTTGAAAACAGTTGGTTCCTTTGAAAACAGGGTCTTACACATTTTTCTGAATAGGCCCTCTTTTCTGAGGTTGATATAACCTGGCCTCATGCACACCAGTACCATAGCCCATAAAATCCCTTTCAAACACTCGAGTATTTGATGAAATAATTCAATTCATAAACCATCATACCTGTAAAGTAAATAGAAAATAGGCAATGAAACACCAAGCAAAATTATCGCACCGGCAGTGAGAAGCCATCCTCTCTGCCACAACCACCACTGAAAATATTAAAATGGAATAAAAAATAAAATGAAGAAAACATAAAATATTGAATAAAACAGCTATGGCACCTTCCATGATTTTCATTTCGAAAAATACACGATTTGCTTACTAAGAACCGTGCTAGCACGGAAGCTCGTTCAGAAATTCCTTCAAATAGTCGCGAGCGCACGCTGTTCAATTGTGCAATTCGCAGGTCGGTAGGCGTGCGTATGCGACGCAATTAACGTTGCCTCACTCATATACAGACCGGGTGACGTTCTCAAATGATGATTAGAGGACAATGACTACAGCATTCTTAATACTACCCCACTGAGCCAACATAGCTCAATCACATCCGGAACACGCCACGAGTTTGATTTCGCTTAAGATCTCAGAGAATTTTTTGAAGATACATTCCGCGATTCTGACAGGCTAAATCCCCTCCCTGAATGCAGCGAGCAAATCTGCAGCCGCAGACACACCAAGGGTTAACAAGCTGAGTTTAGCAGGTCTTTCTTCTTCATGTTGGTCAAAAGGTGGGTGAAGATAAGTCGATACTGCGACCATTTGCGCAACAATCCTCTTAGTCACTGAACTATTGAACACATAGGTCACACACAAACTGGTTCTACACCATCCCCACATACACTGCCGAGATCCCTGCAAATTATAGCGCGTATAAGGCGGCATGAATTGAAGCGCAGCCACGTCAGCCTTTTTTCACCAAAGATCTACCCTGGCTGCGCTCACAAGCTTACGCCACTAATCACACGCCCTATCGTTTACTAGGGATGATGTCTGCAGTATAGTTGAAACACGAAGAAAAATACGTCGCTGTTCCTTCTGCTCTGTTTTGAAAAGATGAAGAAATGAAAGAGTCCCGCTGTCCCAAGAAGTCATCGAAATAGTCAGTGACCTAGCTTTATGGCAGTGACATAATTGCAGACTTTTGATTATTCAGAACCGTGTTCCCTTCTATTTTTCGGTTTTAAAGCTGATATATCTTTTTCCCTGTCCTTGGATCCCGTTAAAAAGACCAGCTAGGCAAAGATTCACTCCACTATCCTCAGACGGTGGAGGTCTGCGAAAAAGCTTTTTGGACTGGGTTGGTATTCATTTCCAACACAACCAGTCGGTTTGCTCTCAATATCTTGGCAGACATGAGAGAAACCATTCGACAGATGAAAGAATTTCACTGAGCTTTCCGGTTTCTTTTCTACAAGCTAACAAAATGGGTGAAGAAAGAGCTATAACTGGAGGTGCGGTGCCAGATTTCAAAGGTCCTATCAGGGAAGTCCGCCAACTCTCTATGGAACTTTGAATGTTGACCTGGATAGATCGATAGAGTCTATAAGGTTATTCATAAATATGGATAGCAAAACTGCAACCTGCATTTGAAAAGCAACTTATGAGCAGGTAAAGTTTGTAATGGCGCAGTAGGGTGGAGGCTTGGTGGTTAGCTGTGAAGGAGTAGTGACGAACTGCATGGGTCAAATCGAGTCGTTGAACGTCAAATCTTACCACTGAACCAGCACGACGTGGTCGAACGCCGAACCTTACCACTGAACTACCACGACTCGATTTGACGCATGTGATTCCTCAATTATGCTTCACAGCCACCATCAAGCGTCCAGCCTGCTGCACCATTACAAATTTACCTGCTCATAAGTTGCTTTTAAAATGCAGGTTGCAGTTTTGCTATCTGTATTTATAAATAACCTTATAGACTCTATCGATCTACCCAGGTCTCCATTCAAAGTTAAATGGTAAGTTGGCGGACTTCCCTGGTTAGACCTGTTACTTGTCTCATTTCTCGAGTTCTGTTCAATTCCAGATCTTTCTGGTAAGAAGGGAACAATAATAGTGTGGGCTAGTATACAAATCTCGTAAAGAATTTGAATTTTGCAAAGTTATAACAATTTGACATTGATACTGATCAACCCCTATTGAGTAGCACCACATGCCATTTTCAATGCGATTTAGCCTATAAAATGACCTGCTAGGGCCCACTCATATTCAAGCCGTCTTTTAATCGCCTGACGAGCATGATGCAAATTCAAGTATCGCATGGTGAGCTTGATGACCAATCCAGAATTTGATTTTCGCGACGGGGACGATGTAAGCCACCATTCGCCTCTAAACCACCTCTGTCACACATTAAGTAGGTAAATGGCATGGGGCAACCCAAAGAGGTATTGATAGACCGAAAAAATGCACTCAGCTTTATATACTGCCCTTCGATCTTGTTTTTGAATAAGTGCTTTACAAACTTTTAAATCGTTTTGGCATTATATCTGTAACATATTAGTAGTAACATGACATTTCGACGCTGTAGTTGCGATGAATTCAAAAGAATGCCGAGTTATGGGCAAAAGTCACCCGACGGGACCGAACCCGTACCCCACGCTTTCCGATAGAAAGCGCTGTTCGCTACGCCATCATAGTCTTTTTTCTCGTTCATAAATTCCTTTCCGAAAAGGAACCACTATGTAAGACTAATGTTGGTGTCGGTGTCATTAACGGAAAGGGTGAGTATTCGGACGTTCTTAACGTTCAGGTCCTCTGTGGAAATCCCTTTTACACACGAACTAGCCACGGGTCAACTCACGTAATCTATTGATTCTAAGTGTTAGCTAACTCAAAGCGCAGTCAAACAACAAGCCTCGTCAGAGTATTAGCGCAGCGCACATTGGTCACAATCACAATCCTTACATTACTGAAATCCGTACAAAACTCGTACTTACATCCACACTATTGGTTTCCATCGATAACCACACTTCGTTCATATCACCCATAAGAGCTTGTCGATTCAAGAGCTCTGAAAACAAACATACTCAGTCTCGTTCTCAGTGCGGATCAAGGACAAATAGTGAGACTCTCTGATCAATTTTTGAGCTTAAAGAGGCAGTGACCGGTTCACCTAACTGGTTTCGGAGAAGCTTACCTAGCTGATAATGCATGAGCGCTCTTCTTAGTTCTTGTAATGAGCCAAACACATTACTGGTGCAGAAGGAAGGCGCAGTTCGGATTAGGGGGGGGGGCATTTCGACCTTCCGCTACTTCCCATGGTCCTGTTCTTCGCATTACGAAAAATGACAGCTATTCTTCTCACGAGTTGACAAAAACTTTCGAAAAGCTTTGACTGGTATCACTTCATGGCTTCATAAGATCAAATAAATCCTAGCTTTATAGCTAAGTTGACTGTGGGAAATAGCGGAACTGCAAAATGTCTCCCCCCCCCTTTTAAGCCGAACTGCGCCCAGAAAGAAATAAGTCTCCGATCAAGCCCAGAAAGTCCTTTCCGCATATGATACACGGTGTACCCACGATTCTGGGGAGAATTCACACGCTTTTCATAAAATTTCTCAGCTTTAACTGAATTTAAACACCTGGGGAAATCGCCCTTCTAGGTTTTCAGAGCCAATTATTACGAAAACCTAGTACTCCCTGTGCCTTTATTTATTTTCGGCTTCCCAATGGAACCTACAGGCACATTCTAAAATCATGGGAAAAGTCTCGTCTTGTAGATAGGTAACCAGTGTTCGCCACCAGCGAGGACGTGCCCCTTCTATGGGTCGAAAAAGCACAGAAAGCAGATTATGGCCTTATCACTTAGGCCCATGTAGACCATGCTCTTTCATGTTGCACACGTGCCGTCGTAGTAACTAACACGTTCCGGACCGCGTGACATACATGGTGTGTCATGCATTTGCCCCTCTGTGGCGTTTTGTATGATAAGCGATTGAAAAGAGGGAGGGAATTAGTGATCAATTATTGGTGAAAAATGATGATATGATCGGTACATGCGCGCAGTACGGCGATCTGCAATTTCTAAAACAGGATATGATAATGATCTAAACAGTGAAAGTGAGGTGATGAGGGAAACACAGCGATGACCGTGTACTCGCGCAGTACTCTGAACGGCACTGTTCGGCTTAAGAGGTGCACCCTGCATGTCATTTTGGGAAAATCTGTAACATCCCGTGGAGTTGCGGAATGATACAAATAAGAGACTATGATTACAATAGTTGACAGGTTCACAAGGTGGTCTTTACAAGCTTTGATGAGAACCATTTGCCCCCTCCCCAGAGCCGAACTGAGCCCTCTTGACCTAAGGGGTCCAACTTAGGACATTACCGGGACTTCTTTTGCTTTTGTTTCCTCATTGTTGAGTCTTTTATCACATGCACTTTCATTTTTGAACCAGCCGCAAATTGCACCAGCGAAGGGTGTTCATCAACCAAGAACCGCGGAAATTGTAATAGTATTAGGTTGTCCGGAAAGTTCGCAGCGTCTTGGGTGTTTCACTTTGAACGATCGTATCTTTTTAATACTCATTAGATTTAATCGAAATAGGGACCATTCGAATCAGCACACTTTTGCCAATGTGACAGCAGTCGAGAAATCCCATCAAAGTGAAAAACTGGGTGGTCGAAAGTTCACAAATTCCACGAAGGCTTTTTGCCTGGTCCCGTTTGATGAAGTATTTCCCAGCAAGGATGCTCTAGAAATGTTTGAAAAGGGAATATTCGGTTGGTGGAAGGTCTGGAGAATATGGCGGTTGAGGTAGAACTTCAACCTCCAATTCTTTCAATTTATGGATAGTGATTTGTGAAACGTGTGGGCGGGCGTTGTCATGCAAAGGAATCGGACCCTTTCTTTTGATAAGTGTTGGCTGCATCTGACGCACTTTTCGGTACATTTCGTCGATTTCTTCAACAGTAGAGTTCTGCTGTGATGGTTTGGCCTGCTGATAAAAATTCATAGTGGATCACAAAAGCCGATGACCACCCAAGCCGTGACCAAGAATCTTTTTTTCGTGAGGGTTCGGCTTTGAAAATTAACTCAGTGGTTCTTCGAAATCCAACCACTGTCCGGAACATTTCCTGTTATCATACATGACCCATTTTTCATCAACAGGTGACAATTCGTTCCAAAAACAGGTCGTTTCTGCTGCGCTAAAGCAATGCAGAAAGGAACCTCGAGACGTGCCGATT